TGACTCAGCACAGATGTAACTGGAAAATCCTACCTCACAGGCCCCTCTGCAGTCTCTGCTCCTCAGGACCACGGACAGTGACTCTGGGACTTGACTTCTCAGGGGCTGCAACAGGGTCAAGCAGCTGTGTGTGTGTGTGTGTGTGTGTGTGTGTGTGTGTGTTGGGGGGGTGGGGGGACTGCAGGAAAAGCCAGCCATTCTATTCTACCTGAGAAATACTCAAGAGGGAGAATCTGATCCTTTAATTTCTCTGATTTGTATATTTTGACCCCTTTGCACGTGTCAGGATGTATGACTGTTGGCACATCCATTGCCACTCCCTGCAGCGCTGATTTTTGCACCCAGAGTGTGACCTCCAAGAGGCTGAGAGCCCATGCTGGCCTCATGGAGTGTCTCCCTGGCCCAGAGACTCAGGTGACTGTCTCTACTTACAACACACTGGGAACATTCCATGATTAATTTCTGAGCCCCCGTGCCTGACCTTGGAACCTCACCCATCACCCAGCCAGGAGCAGCCCCTGAACACAGCGTCCTGCTCCCCGACCCCCGCTGAGCCCCAGGAAGCTGAGCTGAGCTGGGCCTCCAGGCTACTCTGGCAGCTGCTCGGGGCTGAGCCTTGTCACCCCCATTTCATTCATTCCTGCCCATGTCACACCCACAGAGCAAACTCAGGTCCTATAGACCAGCCCTGCCCTTCCAGGGACTCAGTCCAGATGATCCAGTGTGTCTGCTGGTCACACACAGCACTGAGGAAGCTCAGTGTGAGGTCACCTGGGTGCTCAGGGGAGGGGTGCCCCTGTGACCTGGCTGGGTCAGGGCCTTCCCTCACACCCTGCATCTGAGCAGCCACCAGGGTCCTCTGGGCCCTGTCCTCACACTCAGTGTCTCTGTCCTGGGTCACACTCGTCACCTCTCCTGGACACAGCCACAGCTCTGATGGGTGGGGTTGAGGCTCCGTCTCCCCAGTCCTTCCCACTCTGCCCACGTGAACCTGCTCAGCCCCATCCAACCCTCCCCTCACCAGGGCCTTGTGCTCTGGGTCCCTGGACACCCGTGCCCACGTCACGCAAACTTCAGAACAATGACAACCACCCAGTCCACACACGCCCACCCAAGGCAGGAGTCCAGGGAGCCTCCCCAGGTGGGACACCTGTGGCTCGCACACTTGAGGCTTCCACGTGCAGGGGTGTCCTCATCCACCCCCTCCCTCCCTCCCCAGGGTCAGTGGGCACCACAGGCTGCCTCAGACCACCAGCCCCGTCCCCCAGACCGCTCAGTCTATGCTGACTGTCTGCATGGGGGAGATGTGGGGAACAGCAGGCACCCGGAAACCCACCTACCCGGGCACCACCACAGCCCACCCCTCCTCACATCCATGACAGGGACAGGCACACAGAACTCACCTCTGCTCCTGTCCAGCCCCCAAGTTCAATCCCAGCCCATACCCCTTGACCCAAAACTCCCCACGTCTTCCCTCCCCAGCTGCAGCCTGGATCAGCTCCTTGCTGCTCTTGCTCCATGGAGGCAGGTTCCAGCCTTTCTGTCACTGCCTGGCACGCTCTCCCTTCCCTCTCTCCTGTGAGCCCAGACCTAGCCGTCCACCTGCCAAAGTCACCAGCCACCTGCGCCCCTCCATCTTCCCCGCCTCTGCCCATGGAGGTGACAGCCCCTCCTGGATCACCCACTGCTCAGTGTGGGCCTTGGGTGTAATCACAGGTTCTGCAGGGGTCAGCTGGGCTCAGGTCACCTGTGGGACCAGGACCCCCAGAGGGACCAGCAGAGGGAGCTGCTCAGGGCGTCTCAGGGGCCCTGGCATCTGGTCTACACCAGGGGTGTGGCCAATAGCTCTTCCTGAAAGGATGAGTGGTTGACAGAGGGTGGACACAGGGACATGGGAGCTTTCCACCCACAGAATTATTCCCAGAAAGGAGAGGAGAATGGAGATGGACGTTCTCATACACTCCTGCAGACTGCTGTTGACCAGTGTCCACTTCTGAGAGCCTCCCCGAGCTGGGACTCTGAGAAGGCAGGACTGCGCCTGTGCTGCCTCTGCTCAAGCCAGCGACCAGCCCCCAGCCTGGCACAGGGTGTCCCACAACAGCATGTGGAATGGGTGAGATCCAGGATCCACACTGCACACGGGAGAGACACCCACGAGGATGGTCACTGCAGCATGGCCTGTCAGTGCCACCAGGGAGAAGCAGCCTCAAGCCCGCAGAGGCATGTGGGTAGAGCATCAGAGTGTAGCCATGCAGTGGAATAGTGGGGACCAGTGAAACACATGATTGGAGCAAATCCTCATGTACTAAGGAAGCATGTTTTTGTAAAATAATGTTACCAAGCAATAATATAATTCAATAATGTTTGGCTACAAAAACTATGAGTGGGACAAATGAGAAAGTGTAGGAGGATTCACACCAGCTGCAAACAGTGCTCACAGCCTGGAAACTGAGCTGGGGCAGAGGCGGAGTTCGGGGTCTAGACACCGTATTGCACATGTTTGCATTGCTGGAATTTACAGCAAACATGCTTTCCTATGTGATTTCTCTAACAACAGATGAAGCCATTTGAAATGACCCAGGAAGAGTGTGACATCCTCAGGGCTCAGAGCCCAGACCTCCATCCTACCCCCGCACTGCTGAGTCCCCTCTGATACCCTCAGAGCAAAGAGCCCCTAGGTGATGTGACGGGAAGATGATGGCCACCCTCTGAGCCAGAAGAACATGGCCAAGGTGCCACTGCAGGGAAAGGCCTCATGCCCATGTCACCCTTGAACTCTCTGTGCCCCAGGAAGATCCAGGGGGTCCTAAGGTGGCCTGGCCCTGCCCTGCAGAAAGAGGCCATTGTCCATGTCTGCCCAGGGGTCAATGGCCAGAGCACTAATCTGAACCCTGATCTTTGCCTGGTGCAGGACCCAAAAGGTCCTGAGCCCTGACATGGTCACTGTGCCTCTTTCCTGATGGAACTGTCTATGGCTCCCACTGTCTGCAGGACCCAATCCCCACCCCCACCCTGCAGGTGCCCCTGCCCCAGTGATAACTGTGCCCTGAGTCCTCAACATCCCCACTGAGCTTATTCCGGAGATAAGCGTTGGCAGACCTCATGCATGCCCATGGCTGTGGCCCGATTTAAAAGTAATTACAAGAAATGTGGGTCCAGCATGGTGGCTCACTCCTATAACCCTAGCACTCTGGGGGGGGGGGTCAAGGCCGGGAATCGCCTAAGGTCAGGAGTTGGAGACCAGCCTGGGCAAGAGCAAGACCCAGTGTCTACTAAAAATAGAAACAATTAGCCATGCGTGGTGGCGTGCGCCTGTAGTCCCAACTACTCCCGAGGCTGAGGCAGGATAATTGCTTCAATGCAGGAGGTTGAGGTTGCTGTGAGTTAGAGTGATGCCATGGCACTCTAGCCCAGGCAATGCAGCAAGACTCTTTCAAAAAAGGAAGAAAGAAAGAGGCCGGGCGCGGTGGTTCACACCTGTAATCATAGCACTCTGGGAGGCCAAGGCAGGCCGATTGCTCGACGTCAGGAGTTCAAAACCAGCCTGAGCAAGAGTGAGACCCCATTTCTACTATAAATAGAAAGAAATCAATTGGCCAACTAATATATATAGAAAAACTTAGCCGGGCATGGTGGTGCATGCCTGTAGTCCCAGCTACTCGGGAGGCTGAGGCAGGAGGATTGCTTGAGCCCAGGAGTTTGAGGTTGCTGTGAGCTAGGCTGATGCCACGGCACTCACTCTAGCCTGGGCAACAAAGCAAGACGAAAGGAAGAAAAGGAAAGAAAAGAAAAGGAAAGGAAAGGAAAGGAAAGGAAAGGAAAGGAAAGG